AATATAATATACAAAAAAGAAGTTTTTTTTTTCTTTTCCAATTCATTACTATTTTTCCAGTCAAAAAAAGAAATGATAAAAATAACCAGGATATTTTATTCAGAAACTTCGTTTTCCTAGGAGTCAACTTAATTGAAAAATCGATAAATTTACGTTCGAAACAAAAATTCTAAATCGACAATATAAGGTTAATAAAACGTTTAGCGCGAAAACAAAATCGAATGTGTCAATGGAAATTAAATTGTTATATATAACAGTTGATTTGTGTATTTGTAACCGAAAAGAATAATGATATTTCTAAAATATCTTGATAAATTTTTCAAGATTGAAACAAGCTGGAGGAATGGAGCGAAGTGTCGTCGCTCTTTTTCACGGACGTGCTCGGTAAATTCGGTAAACTTGGACAGTGCTGCTTTCATCGCATCACCGGCGTTCTTTTGAGCGAAAAGCGCTTCTTAAAGCGATACGCGCGATGTTGCAACTGCGTGGGGCTGCTCTTACGGCGCGCCCCGAGGGACTCGGCGACCCCTTGCCCGTCGATGTCACCTAAGCGCCGAACTCTTAGATCGTGCGAATCTTTCTCTTTACGACGGCAGGGCTTACTTTTACGTCTAACTTATGGCAACCGTCGTCACTTTTCGCGGTTACGTGACTGCTTAACAAACTCGCGCGATTGCACTTCTCCGCGTTAGAGGTTGTTCTTCGATAATTTAGCTCGCTGCTGTAATCATCTAGTATTCTAGTATCTAGTATTCTAACATCACAACGATCTCCCTACACGAACATAGAGACGACCGATCGATGATTTTGAAGACGAACAGTCTGAAATGACCGCCACTGGCTATTAAAGTTATAGTCTTTTCACAATGGAATATTTATGAAGTACATTGAAGCACGGTGTTCCTATTAGTGAGGCGACGTACAAGCCTTCCGAAGCCCATACTGAAGTACCGTACTTTACAACAATAGTTATTTCTCATGGTGTCGTATTAATTTTCTTGTCTATCAATAAAGAATCATACGGCAGATATAAGCGAATGTATATAATGTATATTTCTATTTTCAAGTAAAACTGTAGCATTTATCTTTATTACAACCTTCACGCACATACGTTTTATTACTTAAATGCCTATTTCGTCAAGGTACGAAATTTTATTAGAATGTAACAATATGATTAGAGAAAAAATAATAGCACGTCAATTTACGACATCTATATGATGAAAAAAAGCGTTGATATAAACGGCAACTATAAAATGCTAATGCGTTTTAGGAAAGTGTTCATTTCGTGTATTATTAGTTTCTTTTGGAGAAGTTTCTCTAGGATATATTTGGTCCGACCACTTTATGGTCGCCCACTTTTGAACGAATTTATTTAATGCTCTGCGCTTCGGTTTCGGGTAGATCCCGAAAGGCTACTAACTACTTCGTGGCACCTGTCATTCGGGACGGCGAGTTTCGCCGGGCATTAGCGAGATAAGATGACGAGCCGATAAATGACGAGGATGAAAATAGGAAAGCAGGTGAAAACCCGAATCGTCTCCGAACGAAAGTGTCCCGCGGCGAGGACTTGCATCGCCTCAATATTTATTAATCATCATGAATACATTTACTTTGGATAAATCGTATCTCTAAAATAATCGCGTTACATTTGTTAAAATCTATTCAATATCATTATTCACTAATATCTGCAAAAAAATTGAATTGGAGTTTCTACAGTCAGCAATTTTAGGAAAATACAGACTGGAAATAAAATATCACAAAAAGCAAAATTTATAAATTATCTTTACATTTTTTATCTATATGAGAACGTAAATGTTACAAATGTAACAAGCTTGCTTTCGGATAACCGTTACTTTCGTTGTCACAAGCACCTGTTCTTCCGAGGAAAAATATTTTGATGGACATGGAGTTTAATGCCTAGCGATTTTAAGCAGTGGCAAAAGGATTCGCCATATGGCGCCTTGGTCAGACGCGCCGTCGCGAGAATCGAGCAGTCGTGCTACGAGAGCCAACGATGCTTCGAGGAACAAGAGCCCATTTATTTGGCGTGTGCTGTATAATTAGGACTTCGAGAACTGGCCACACGGGAGAGCTTATTGTCCGTTTTTTCCCCTGCTCGATCCGTGGAAAACGAGTTTTGGAAATATATTACGGGGCGCCGTGTGGTCGGCCGAATTCGTGCCCGAAAGATGCATTTCTTCGGCCGAGGGATGCTTCTGCAAATACCTGAGGAGGTGGGACCCGGGAAAGATGATTTTTTATCGATGGGCAGAGAGATGGGAAGCGCTGGAAGTTCGTATCTCGCGTTCCGAACGAGATAAACGACACCGAGAGCTCGTTTATCCGCGCCGGCAATATCGGAAGAGGGTTGACGACTCCTTTCCTCGTTCCGGCATATGTCGAGAATAGCCGGCTTCCGTAAAACGGTAAACCATTTAAATATAGGCTGCTTTCGGAGTTTAAGAGACGCGGAAAAAACGGCAGGACGAAAGCTGCGACAGCCGAGGAAGGAATCGTGCGCGCGCGGCTTAATATTTTCTCATATTATTTATCCTACTCGTAAATCTTGTATTTTCTTAACAACATTAGTATCGAGTAGGCCTCAAGAGCTCGTTGAATTAATGTACGCATTCGAGAGATCAAATAGATTACTTTACATACTCACGGCACGATTGTGCGTGCTGCGCGCGCGGAAACCGACGCATGACCCACCTCCCAGATGGGTCACCCCGTGCATCCAGGCAAGGACGCGCCGTGCGCCCCGGGATTTCTCGTAATTTTGGGTTTCACCGGTAAATGGTATCGCGTTTCTTGGGACGCACCGTCGGATTGGCGCATTGTCAACCGACGGGGGCCACCTAAGGCCCCGGGGTGGCACTCTCCGATCCCTTTCATCCTTATTTCTCCACGGCAGCACGCGCGCTTTGCCTCTATAAAGGAGCTTTTTTTACCAGAAAGACAAAAAACAAGAAACGCCGAAGCAAAAGCGGAAGAGGGGTAAGCGCGTTAGCCCCGATCCCTCTCCCTCCCGTCTGTATTCCCTTCGCTTTTAGGGACGCGTGGCGTGGCACACGACGCCATTATTCTTCTTCGTCTCCGTCTTCGCGAGAGGAAATTTACGGTACACTCGTTGCGATGCATTTCGTAAAATTCATCGTCACACGTGTACGTCCACGGTGATCCCTGATGACATCTCGCGCGTAACGATTGACAGACAGGCAAAAACTTGCGTGAAATTGATATGTGTTCATCAAGTATTCAACACTTGATAGGAAAAGATGATAATTTCGTCCTTATTAAGTCCTTATTAAGTTATAAAATTTAAGCGCTGACGCTTTCAAATTAGCAATGAAATAAATTTTGGAGAACTTGGCGACGAATAAGATAAATCAGTAACTGTCTAAATTATTCGCAAATTAATTGAAGGACAAATTGCGCTGGAATTAAACGCGTGCCATCACAATAAAATTTGTAAATGTTTACCTATTTGTGTAGCGGTACTTCAGGTAGCATATAGATCCCAGCGACCCCGCGCGTTTTTCCGAATTGTGACCCCAAAACTCCTCGACACTCAATGCCGCGAAAGAAACGCCGTTCCGTTCGTCTGCTTTGTCGCGTGCTGCCAGACTTCCTTGACGTGTTGGCACAGTTTTTGACAATGGAGCCAATGCTGCGGGAGTAAACTTATACGACTGCGCCGTTGTGCAACGAAAAGCAATGACCTCCCTTGATCCACCGTTCTGAATTTAGCATTCTACTTACCTTCCACGCTTCTCTATTGTAAGAGCTAAGAAACAATGTTGTGTGAAAGCTATGAGTGTTCGGACATTTCGAAACACTGTGAGCGCTGTACACAGTGGAATATAGAAATAAATCTGTCATCTGAAAATAATTACATAATGAATTAGAAAGATTTTATGTAACAATAAAAACAAAATTTTATATTAAGTTTAACTTTAATGTACTTGATATTAATGTTATCTAAGATAACATTCGTCTTATAAATCTCTTGGCCAAATAAATGATCTTTCGACGATAATTAAACTTAAAGAAATTATTCCGATTTTAAGCTTCATTTTAATACAATTTAATTGTGTAATTTATTAGGATTCGGCGATCAATTATTGTATTGTATAAATTATTCAGACTTGTTAGATAAAAAAAGTAAAAAATGAATAGAAATAAAGCTTGTGCGGGACTCAAGAGACTGCTGTGATCTATGAATCCGAGCGATTCAGTCTCGATCCGCTACATCTGCCACGTGCCCCCATATTACGGCATAATGTGTCACTGTGCCACGGCCGCGCTCTTTTCCACCCCTCTCTTCAGCCCTTCAGCGACGCCTGCAGTTTCATCCGTCGCTCGATCGCGCGTGTATGGAATCCTAGATTTTGGAAACTCGGTGGTCCGAATAGCGCACAGCTGAATGCAGGTCGCGCCGGTCCTCCATCGGGGAGGAAACACCCCGGGGAAGGAGACGGTTTTTCAGCATACATTTCCCCCTTCAATCACCCGCCTCCCTCTCCCTATCTACCTCTTCTATGCGTTTTCTGAATCAACGAGCGAATCCATGATGCAACCTCGGATGAGTCGTGAAAATATTCTCTCCCTTTGTGACACAAGCGATATTTTATTCGAATTTCTACCGCGATCTTTCGAAAAATTCACAATTCCCAGTAATGTTTTATCGATGACTCTGAGAAATCGATGAAGCCTCAAAATGTGAGGAAACCTTCGATAAATATTATCTGCTTCCTCAGATTTACTATAGTTGCCGAATACCAAGGAATTAAATAATAAAATTATGCTAAAATGAAACTTAAAATCGGTATAATTTTTCTAATCGCGTAATGCCAAGAGATTAGTTTCATAATTATTTCTGAAATATCGATTACTTACCGTAATGGTTAAATCATACCTGTTTAAAATTAACATCTCTGCAATTAATGTAACAAAATATGGATCGTGCGCAAGGTGATTGTGAAATAACGAGACCTGAGAACGATTAAACAGTGAGATTTAATAATAAAAATAGTTTGACGCAGTAGTCAATTCGGAACATTCTATAACTGATTACTAATATATGTAATTGCAAAGATTGGGGTATGAAGTTACGAGTAAACATGTACGATATAAAGGGTTCCGTTTTTGTTTTTCTCTTATTCACAATAGGAATTCGAAATTGGCAGCAATAGAGTAATAATGATAATTACAGTTAGTATTATTTCCTAGACGCGGATTACTTACAAAACGATTTATTCATATTTGTACGAACAACATCCTTCTCTTTAATACGCATTTAGACAATCTTATCTATTACTTCTCCCCTTTCTCATTCCCTTTTCTCTTTTTATCTTATTTATAGGAATATTATTTAAAATCAGTCTTGTGGTTGAGATATATTAGGTGTCTGGTGAGGTAGTGTCAGTTTCATAGTATACATTCAGTGCCACTGGTCTGCTGTTCGCGCAGCACGTTGCGTATCAAGCGTTAAACGACGATATGTTACGTTGCGTGCTACGCAAAGAGATATCGCTTTCGAGAATTCAGTATAACTCGGCAATTCATGAATTGTCGAAAACGATCACCGTTCGTAATTAATAATCGTCGTTACATTGAACGCGATAAATAACGTCGCGACAAACAATCAAGTGCGTCGAGTGGCCATGCATCTCGCTATAGCATCATCGATATTATTACCTATTATTTTGTGAGACTGTGTTATTAATTTAATCGTAGGCGTAAGGTCTGAATTTGTACCGTGTCTCGTTACGTGCGCGAGAATTCGAGCGGATGCGAGACGGTTATTGTTGCGCGCGTGTCCCGTCAATGCGGAAATTGATATTACTACTAACGTAGATTCGCACGTACTCGAATTTGCGCGCATTGCGATTTGCTGTACAAAATTATATCGATTTCGTTACATATAGATACAAAGAAGTATACATAATCATAGGTACATTTTATCGAGTATTCGAGCGATTGGGCTAGATAGTACGGAGGTTAAAGCCACGAAAAAATTTGTGTTTTGAAAAACTCTACAGTTGCTTGAAGCTTATCTTATTCGATATAAAATTCAATCAATGAATTGTTCGTATTTTTATCGAAAAAGATGGAAATAAAATGTAAGGAAGTGGAGAAAATATCAGTTTCATCGTTAAATATCAGAGTTTAAATCGCATCTGATTATTATTGTATTAAAAACTAAATTAAATCTTTCACAATTATATGGCAATAATCAGATTAAGTGAAAAAAAATCTGTATTTGTTACGAGAAAACTAATTAATTATGTTAATATATGTAATAACGGTGTTTAATTTAGAAATGTCGGTTGGTAATCTTATAAAACTCTGTCATTGTCATTATAAAATTCCATCATTCCTTGTTAATAACAAAATTATACATATAAATGTCTGTATATATATATATAATTCATTATACATATAATACATAGACGTCCGGTCATTTATTTTATTTTTAATCGTATCTTTTCAATTGAAATTTTTAATTGAATGATTTCTCGAAATTTTTCTATGTTGATAATTACGTATTTTGATTCCTTACATTTTAGTTTTACATTTTATCGTGTGCCATTCTCATCCGTACAATGCAATCCCAATTCGAGCACACAATGTATTAGTACGTTACAACTATACTCGACACAAATATATATGTGTACACAGTTTTTGCACGTTAAGAATAAGAAGACAACAACAATAATGATTACGACAGTAGGTAGGACAAGCAATAACTCTAATACGATAGGTACTTGACGCATGGTTCTTCACCTCGTCGATATCTTAGGTTTCATCACTATAACTCCGGTTTGCTTCTAGGGATATTAAAAAAAAAGAAAAAAAGAAACAGACAGCTGGTCTGAGAGCTGCACATGTAGGAACGGTGGAAACATAAACTAAAATATCGCTCGGAACTAACAACCATTAACTAGGAATCAATATTTCTCAAGGTACTCTTGCATTTAACATCGCGCGGAGTGCCGCGCGTTACGCCAAGCAGAAATCAAATGATTTATTCCATTTCGAACTTTCTCAACTTGTGGTAACACGCGACGTGATCGATGCCAAACGTTAGGAACAAAAGCAGCACTTTGTATCCGTTATTCTCGACCATATAATTATATTATTGCGGACCAGGTTAAAATCGACTGTCGCAATTAAATTCGAATTCATTTTGAGCTCTGTCCTTATTTCTCGGAGAGACAAAGCTCAAGACGAATGAATCTATCTAAAACCTAACCAAACACTAAACGATAGTAACTAAGGAACGTATTACGACGCTATGAACAATAAGAAATAATAACGAATTGCTCAGCGAATAAAGACGCGAATCGATGCGTCGACAAAAATTTCAAGCACAGATTGAAATCGGTATAATTTCAATGAGTTCAATTTGCAATATCGAAGTATACTTTGTGTAAATTATCCCCCAAATAAATATAAAGATCACTTTCGTTCTCGCGTAACATAGTTTGAAGTCAATGAAATTATAGAAACGTTAATCTTTACTTTTCAGAAGTCGAGCATTTTTCGCATTTTGCAATAAATAAATAATAGTCCAATTGATTAAAGAGTGTGAAGAGAAAAACTTTTTACTCGGTGCACATTCGGTTCTGACAAAAAAAAAACTTCTGTGGCGTCTCTTGATTAATCGCGACGCTTTTCTCACAAGCCTAACCCGATGTCGCCTCTTGCTCTCCAGTTGTGTCACACGAGACCGGTTTTCACCTTGCAATTGTTGCGAACTGACCACAAGCAAATTCGTTAAGCGCTGTCTGTCACGGAACTACTCGTTCGTCTGTCATCTAACGCAAAAAAAAAAAAAAAAGAACGCGTGGCGTTCACCCTTATAAATTCATTTCTTATATGATCTATTCGAGGATTGGGATGTCTCTTGCTATGTACAATAAACTCGGGGATTCAGGGTAGGATCTGTCTTTCTTTCGGGGCACGAGATCCAGGCCTGCTGACCTCTGTCGCTTCCTGTGTATGAGCTCTTTGATGATAAGTATTTATTTATTCTTTTTTGTATTAGATTCCTCTTCATTCATTGCTCATTGTTGTTATTTCTTTGTCTTGTCACCCAGAGATTTCAATTCTTTCGATCAAACGCGCATTTTGGGATATTTAAGAAATTTTAGATAGTTGCGAAATAATTTCATGCGTTTCAATAGCAAAAACAATTGCATTTAACGGAGGCGACAATTAAATTACTGATTTGTAGCACTCAAATCATATTTGCGATACCTGAGAATGCACATCGACGAGTATGTTGCTTTACGCTTGTCGTGGAGCCGACGGTTAAGTGTGACAATATATTTCAACTATATTTTTAAAAATCAGCGAAACATTTCTTGAAAAAGAATAAAAGTAACTCTTGAAAAACCTCACATAAGTAATGAGTAAAATCGTAGTTTATTTTTGACAATGTATAACTAGAGAAAGTGTAACAGAAGTTGAAAATAGTGTATTGCATGATGCTTGTCACAAGATTTATAACGCGTAGAAAATGTTCAAAAGCGGTACAGATACTGAATATATTATGAATATATTATTTCCTCAATGGAAAAGAAAAATTTAATTTGCATTTTGGTCGAATGGCTTAAACCATAAAATATTAAAAATATGTAAGAGAATGAAAAAAAGATAAGACAAGAAAGATGAAGAAATAGAGTAAGGAATGCGAGAATTTCCGACGTACGTAGTATGATTTATTTCGATTTCACTTGTTACTCGCATAGGATTCTTCAAGAGGAATTTTTATAATCTGTTTCTTGCTTTTTCGAAATTTTTCATTTTTCAACGAAAAAGAAAATTTCTTAACGATTTAAAGTGACATTTTGATGCTTTTATAGGCATATGATTAATTAAATTAATGCTAAATAAGAAAAGTAGAAAAAAGTCAGATATTTTCGTCATAAAGTGATCAAGAAATTAAATACATTCTTTCCGTATTCTTTTAAAGAAGCCTTGAGAGTGGCGTTGCCATTTGTATTTTTATCAAGTCGATTTAAAATTCAAATCTTCATCTTCATTTCCTACAGTTTCGCTTTGATCGTACAGAATGAGATTCGCATAATCGCATAATTCTTGTACAATTTTAGATATCTTTTAATTACGTATTTTTCGTACATTAAGTACTACCAACTGATTTATATCGTTTAACGCGGCTACTACATAAGCCGAGTGAAAGTAAATATATCTATTAAAAAAAAAAAAAAAAAATAAAAGAAAAAGTTTAAGCCGACAAAGATACGAGATAGCACAAGGAAATGCAATACGGCGTGTAACGTAATAGTTGGGCTATACCTGCTTCTTTTCTTGAGAACAAAACAGTCGGAAGATAAACGAGGGCAATTTGAACCTACAACATTTTGAGTAATATTCATGTAAAATGTAGAAACGAAGGCGCAGCCTTTTCCTTCTTCCTTCTTTTTCGTTTTATTCCGCGCAATGTAAAGCATGGTAGTTTATTCTGAGAAATGTTCACCCTTCTTCGTCACTACCAAACGGAACTAAATCAGAAAGTAACGGAAGAGTCCTTTTCGCTGCAGAAAAGCTTCGGGGTTCCGTACGAACAATGTGTTTAGACGGCCTCGATGGTCAAAATGAGAAATATGTATGGCAGATACATAAATCAGTAGCGCGTTGAATAATGGGCAGGAATCTCAGCAGTGGAAGTGTGGCGACGACTCGAAAAAGAAACCGGTCGCAAAATTTTTCGGCAAGCCGACGGTATCATTGCGCGAAAACTGGTTTGCGCAAAAGACGCGCGCGCCAGCTGAAATCAACTAGTACAAAAAGAAACTAGAAGCTCTTTTAAGAGATCGTTGACGGGGGCCGGCTGTACGCGGTCCGAAGGATAGGAGGCGGAAATCGGAGAAGCAGATCTCGATTGTGCGAGCCTCATTCTGTGCGATCGAGGCGAAACTGTAGGAAGTAATGGAGATGGAGATCAGCTTGAATTTAAAATTGACTTGATAAGGGTACAAATGGCAACACCACTCAAGTTTCTTTAGAAAAATATAGAGTTATATCTTTCAACTTGGATTATCTCATCACAAAATATAGTTCAGCGATGTTATCGATGTGAATATATATATATATAAAACGAAACAAAATTACTTCCCGAAGATGTACAGTTTTTCTGCACGCAAATATCAAATTAATCAATAACTTAATTATTATCTCCGCTGAACGTGTCCGTGGCGACGATCCCGTCGGGAATTGCTTTCGCTACCGGAGATATTTTATTTTTTTTCCGAGTACACAAAACGTGCACGCAAGTATCAAATTATTTCATTAGCCATCCGAAAGCGCGTGATCGAATTCGCGCACCAAGTAATTAGGCATTTCGAAGTCATTCAAATCTCTGGATAATGAAAAAAATAATTAACGAAAAATTAATTACTCTTTAATAAAAATTTTATTTCCAAAAAAAAGGAAAATAAATATTTATCATAAAAAGTTCACGATAGCGACAGTGGACCGACGGACCAATGTCACTCTTCCCCGCTACATTTTACTGTCAGAGGAACTTGTATACCACAATACATTCATTCCAAATCTATTCTCTTTTTCTCTCTCGTCGATGCAAGACGCATCCCGCTCACTCATGAAAACATATATGCCCCTCCTTTCGATATCCTTTACCTATCTAAATGGCTATTTTAAAATTTTAACAGGGACAAACATATGCTGATATTAAAATTTGAACATCTGTTCAAATTATACATTGTATACAATATATCTCTAAACCCGTCATCGATATTTAATTCGTATTCACGCGGCACGATCTAATAATGTTTATGTATAAGTCTATATATATATATTTATAATATATATATAAAAAGCGTCTTAACAGTAGTGACTATAAACCGGTGTGTAGAAATCTAACGATGAATCGGTGCAAGTTACGAGACTCGAGCGACGGAATGCAAGTTCTATTCTCTCTTGCCCTCCGTCCCTCACATTCCCCCCTTTATCGACGATGTGATTCGCGGCCATGTGTTTTGGATATAAGAATGATACTTAATCGTATTTAACCGTATTCTAGTATGATTGGTACAGTGCTGTTTGCGCTAGCTTTTTCTACCTACCGATCTGAAACTCCACTAGGATGCGTGATCGGCTTCATTGTCGCTGTCCGATTTGGCTGCGTCCTCATCGAAAGTTTGTCGTAGGAACAGGCTGGCCTCGATCTCTTCGTCGTTCGTCTCGGAGACGGCGTCGTTGCTGCTCGTCGACGGACTGCTATTGTTGCTGTTGCTGCTATGAGAATTAAGCCTCGGCGATCTGTTCATAGATAGATCCTCGGGCTCAGTTTGCATAGGCAAAGCGGTCACGCATCCGGAGAGATTTATCGGTATCGGAGCAGCGACAATGGGGCTCGGTAATTCGAGAGGAACTGCACTGGGGAGATCGCAGAAGGTGTTCGCAGAACTGCTGCTGGCGACAGGCTCGGTGTTCTCCTGGCCGCAGGCCGTCGGCTGCTGCGTGCTTCGACTGTTCGCAACGCTTTTGGTGCACCTATGATGCATCAGGTGGTGCCGCCTTCTGAATTTCAGATCGCAGTACGCGCATTGAAATGGCTTTTCGCCGCTGTGTATCAGCACGTGCGCCTTCAGTTGATTCGAGTCGCTGAAGCTGGCCCCGCAGTACCTGCAGGTGTACGGACGCTCGCCTGTGTGCACTCGCAGATGACGGCGGAGATTGGCCACTTGGACGAATCGCCGTTCGCAGAAAGTGCAGAAGTAAGGTTTCTCGCCGGTGTGCAGTCGCAAGTGCGTCTTCAGATGGTGGTCCCGGGTAAATCTGCAAAATCGATGGATTCGCGTTTATTAGCAGAATTTCTCATTGAACTTTCAAGACGTGGTAACATTCAAATTATTCTAAACCAGAGATATGTGTAACATTATCTTTTAGAATTTTTTTTCCCGTTACAATAAAATAAAATAATCGCAAAAAATCTCACTTTTTTTCACATTGTGGACACTGGAAGGGTTTCTCGCCGGTGTGTGTGCGCGAATGATTTTGCAGCACGTGTTTGTATCCAAAATCCTTCTTGCATATGTTGCAAGTAAACCTCTTCTTCGTGTTCCTTGCTCCTACTGCATTGTCCTGGTTTCCACTTTTCGGCGATTGTCCCTTGGTCGGTTTTTTGCTTGATTTCTTACTCTTCGGAACCGGTACTGGTTTCTTGTTAACTTTCACAATATTGTTATGTTGCATAATGTTGTTGTTATTGTTGATGCTGCTATCAGTGCTGCTGGTGCGCCGGCTTACGGACCTTGAACTGAGCGTTGGCGATACCGTGATGCCGAGCGAGTGTCGAGACGAGGACGAAGACGGGGATGTAGCCGATGGCGAAGACGTGGCCGACGGCGCCCAAACGCTGCCTAAAGTAGTCGGATGGAAATTTTGACTATATAGTGCCGGATTCGAAGTGATCGTTGCGTATCTGTTCGCAGCAGTGACCATCATAGCCATTTCCATTGGGTTTCGTAAGCACGACAGAAGATTAGTTCGCGTAAGAACTTCTGCCACTGAAGCCACTTCCACTCCAGGATACATCATCGATGCGTTGTTGTTATTATTATTGCTGCTGTTGTTGTTGTTGTTGTTGTTGTTGTTGAAGGTTTCCTTCTCGTCATTCATATCCAATTGCTGGCCATACAAAAGCCCTGAACTCAAGAGAGAAACATTGTTCATTTAACAAAATGTTTGTTAAGAAAATGTTAACAAACATGTATTTTTATATTCAAAAAAGTAAAATTTCTCACACTTAACATTCATTTTAGAAATAAATTTACAAACAATGATGTAAATTTTATAATTTCTTACTTAAAGTGTGGTTATTTAAAAATAAAAAATTGTTATTAATAAAGAATATAACCAACCAAAAGTGCGTTTGTTAAAACATAAGAATTATTAACTATTATTAATAAATAAAAACGTTTGTTCGTCACAATTTCGGATTTGTCCTTCTTCAATTTGATAAACTTTGCTAGCTTGCTGTATTAGTCGGTGCTGCGCGTTCGATCGATGAATCCATATTTCATTACATTAGTTATTAAGTTTAACCATTTTATATATTTTTTATGTGACCTGAATCTTTTCTTTTTTTTTTCTTATATATATTTTGTGAAACTGAAGAGGACTTGAAATTATGGCTAAAACATTATATTAATTGATAACAGATAATAGCTCTTAATTTCTGATATCTGTCTCTATAATCCATCTACAATTCTATAATCTCCATTATTATTCACAGATAGTACATACAAATAATGAGTATAATTTGAAACATTAGAAGTATTCTAGTTCTTTTATAGTCGACATAATTTGTGGGTCGATATAATGAATTTTGAAATTGAGAGTCAACTAAGCGGAGGAAAAAGCACTGGAACATAGAACAAGCGTATGTAGTCTGCGAATCCTAAGATCGCTCCTCGCACTTCCTCTTTCTGTCAGTCGCGCGCGCTCCTTCCTCTTTTTCTTTCTCTCTCTCTCGCTCTCTTTCTGTTCCTCTTTTCCCTACCACTCCCAACGTGCCCTCCCACACATGTCGCTCGCACGTGAGGTTACTGGATCCTCCTCCATTCACTCACACTCTCGCACGCGAGAGTTCATTCATAAGGCTCCGGTTATCCACCTACGCGTCTACGGCATATCGCTCTTTGATTTGGGGCCAACGACTTTATCGGAGTGCAAATAATCATGTTTACCGGAATATCGCTCGATTTTTTTTATTAAAAAAAAAATAGTTAATACAAGCAGAAGCAGAAGAATGTTGAAAATCAATAAATTATAATTGTATCACTCATGTTTTACGCTATATTACTTTTGTAATCTGCTAGAGAAAAATATGTGCTGTAATAACGGAATTTATAAAAATATATCAACCAGAATAATATGGAAATATGACGTAAATTTGTATCCCTAAAATTAGTAGCTTCCACATTTACACGTTTTATTCCACGTTAAACGTACGCGTCAGTTCACAGTCAAGTGGGTATCAGTAGCTGTCACGCGTATTAAATCACAGGCTGCTGTAAGGTTCTTTTAAAAATTGCTCACGTAGTGAGATTGTAACTTTGAAAGGTTACTATTAGGATTGACGTCACATGGGTTCGCCTTTGTCGTTTAGAGTTTTCTTGCGAACAGAAAATAATCAACAATTACACAGAAATTCGAAATATTTTAATAAGTGTACGGATGATCGTTAAAACACAATATTCAAAGAATTTAAAGCTGTTCTTAACGAGAATCGATTAAGAAAAACAATGTCTAAAAATGCACACCGGATCGCTGCTGACTAATTAGCGGACTGTTTAAGGAGACAGCGTCGTTGAATCAATAAGAGCGCGTACGATGTCTCTTCCTTCTTATTCCCCTTTTTTTTCCCCTCCGCCCTAAAATTCCCTTAACGGCGACCAGGATCTTACAGCCTACGATCGCCGTTTCTTGGCAACGCGACGCGAAGAGTACCGCCCCCGCCTGCGTTTACCCCATAATTGGTCGCAACCCTTGTAGTTCCATCTCGAATTCTTTCTCTTAGAAACCCTATTAGACCGTTTTAAATTAAACTAGACCTGCACTTTCCAATTTTACTCGACAGATTTAATGTAAGCTGCACTTGTTTTACAACTTGAAAAACATATTTATAAACTTGTAAAATTTATGAATAAAAAAACAAGATTTTTTTGTATTAAAAATCTCTACGCTGTAAATCCTCGAGATTTTTTTAGATTAAAGTATAAGTACTTTCCGACAACTCCGCCAAATTTCTTTTATAAAAGAATTTCTGGTTGCTAATCAGAAAATTAGGTATTGTGTAATTTCTACTACTTTTGCAATTTCCAAAATATTATCACGACTGTTAGGATCGAGTTGACTGTCAAGGACGATTTTAAAGCATGGCATAGTTGATCGTACGGCGCGGGAAAATCACTCGTGGTTCGACAAAAGCGCGTTGATGGAGATGCGAGAGTCGTCACGAGAGATGCGCGCCAGGTATTCCAAAACAATCGCGGTGATTATTTTTAGACGCGCGCGTCGCGTCGCGAGATCCTGGCGAAATATCAACGAATTTTCATTTTTCCGACGATTTTCTCGTGCGTCCTTCGTCGAGCAATTTCGCTACTCTCCCCGGGGCTTATCGATGTTTACAATGTGTCATACGTACGTGCGTCGTATCGCCGTAAGCACTTTTAGATACTGGCAAGAAGCCAGAAGTCGTAGCTCTTAAGAACCTATGAAATCGCTCTTTTGCTTTCTACTTCGCTCCTTCTCTCTCTTTCTTTCTTTTTTCATATCGCGCGTGAGATTATATATTGTATATATATTTATTTATATATTTATGTATCAAGTCGCCGACGCATCACCTTTGTTTTCGATTCGAAGCCAATGTTTGAGGCGGAAGACCATTAAAATAAAAAAAAATAATAATAAAACAAAGCTAATGTGATTGATGTAAGAGAATTTTAATACCACGTGTAACAAAAACTGCCTCGAATTTTGTCAGAAATAATTTTCACAGTAATGGAAGTAATTTAACTGATTCACAGCTATTTAAGAGAAAATAGACATTTAAGTGTGCGTTGAAACAGCAACGTGGAAAAAGTGATGAGAGAAAGCTTGAAACTGGATGGAAATCAAATCTCCATAAATAACTTCGAAAGTTAAAAATAACAGAATGCATTGCAGAAATTCGAATTACAGGATATACTAAAACAATACAATCGAGATTTTCTCGAAGCTAAACACACATGCGATTTTCATGATATCGATCCTCTCAATTCTCCATCGTTCGCGTTTCGTGAACCATGAAAAAAATACCTGCATAAATCTGCCTCTCCTGAAGACCAGGCAGTGCCACGCTACGATCCATGCTACGAGCTCTCGTCACTTTGACACTCCATCCACTCTTCTTTGTCACATCATATCACTTGCAACGACGAGCTGCATCGAAAGAGTGACACCGCGACGCGATGTGTTAATGGCGCGGTCGAAAACAAAAGCGAATCGCTATCTTCAATTGTTTTTCTTGTCTTTTTTTTTTCTTTTCTTTTATTCGCGCCGAGAGGAACAACGCGCTCGATTACGATCCACGGCGAGTTAGTTTTGTTAACGACGATACACACCGACAATATGAGCGATACCGCGTGAAGTATAATAATACGTATATCTTACTTGATTACTATCTTCTTAACATGTAAACAAACGGATCTTGTCTCCACTCAAGTGCAACTGAGAACATGAGGCTACGATGTTACTCTGGGCTGACCTAACCCAATACTGACAGTCGAGCTTTGCTCACTAGTTTGCCAGTAGTCAAACATCCCCCCTCCTTGTACGTCTCCGGCTTTCCCTACCACTCGTCGCTTTCATTCCCCCACTAGGTATCGCAGCGCACTACCCTCTCGAATCGGAACCCCGGATGCGCGAGTCGCCGAAACCCTCTTCGTCGGGGTGCGGGTCGGTTATCGCTTGCAAAAGATGGAGGTCGAAGGAGTGAGAAAAACAGATAGAGTGGGTGGGAAGGAGAGACAGGAGAGGGATGACGGTGCGAGAGGG